TCATCGCCGGGTCCGCTCCGTACAACCTCACCCTCTCAATCGACGTAGACTCCAGCAGCTTCGCCGTCGCCTCCGGCGCCGGAAGATTATCCGCCACCTGCCCATAATTCACTCCAATAAACGACTGCGCCGCTAAAAAAAAAAAAAAAAAAAAAAACCCAAACTTTATCACTGCTAAAAATCAAAACTTTACAAGTTACAACTGAACCCAAATCCCAATAACTTTACAAAAAGATGGAAATAACTCAAATAAGTGATTACCTGTTAGATGGAGGAGTAAGAGAAAGAAGAAAGATGAAGTGAAAAGCGGAGTTGCCATACTCTTGTCTGTGTTTGCTTTTGGGAAGAAAATATGATGACGACGGTGGTGATGAGGAAAGAAAGAAAGTGAGAGTAGAAGAAGATAGACAGTGAGAAGCAGATAAAGGAGTCAAGGAGAGGGAGAGGCTGACATGGGGGGCATAACGGTAAAGAAAGGGGTTTCCGGTAGGTAGGGGGGAAGCAAGTAGACTAGTACAGTGGTAATGGAGTGTGTGGAAAAAGATCGGAAGTGACGATTGTACCACCGGCCACGGCACCAACGTATAGAGACATGAAAGTTCTCGACCACGTGGTGGCGCAGCCGGGGTCCACAATATAGGGCCATTTGAGAAATTACCTTTGCTTTTACGGAGTCCTTCTTTTTTTCAAAATAAATTCCTTAAATAATAGGGAAAAAGGTCAAATAGACCACTGAACATTACTCAAAGAGTTAATTAGGCCCTTGAACTTTTAAAATGTGCAATTAAGCCCTTAAACATATTATTTTAGAGCAATTGGGCCCTAAAATCGGTTGGTTACCTACAATTACCGGTCAAAATGATTCCGGCGAACCTCCGACAATATTCCGGCCAAAAAAACCGGCGAATAGTTCGCCGGCGTCATTTGCTGCCATCTCCGGCGAACTCCTTCGCCGGAGAAGGCAACCCAACCCTTCTCCGGCAGCTAGAGAAGGAGCTGTGAAAGAGAAGGCAGGGTTGCCTTCTCCTTCGCCGGATCTGGTTCGCCTTCTCCTTCGCGAACCAAATCCGGCGAAGGAGACCTTCTCCTTCGCCGGATCTGGTTCGCGAAGGAGAAGGCGAACAGATCCGGCGAAGGACTGGGTTGCCTTCTCCTTCACGGGAGAAGGCAACCCCTTCTCCGGCGACTGGAGAAAGCGACCCATCTGCTCGCCTTCTCCAGTTGCCGGAGAAGGCAACGAGTTGGTTGCCTTCTCCAGTTGCCAGAGAAGGCAGACGCCTTCTCCTTCGCCGGAGATGGCAGCAAATAACGCGACGTTCGCCGGTTTTTTGGCCCGAATGTTGTCGGAGGTTCGTCGGAATCGTTTTGACCTGTAATTGTAGGTAACCAACCGGTTTTAGGGCCCAATTGCTCTAAAATAATATGTTTAAGGGTTTAATTGCACATTTTGAAAGTTCAAGGACCTAATTGACTCCTTGAGTAATGTTCAGGGGTCTATTTGACCCTTTTCCCTAAATAATAATATAAAAAATTAAATATAGCTTCGAACTTTATATGATAACTGAATTAGATTCTGTCTCGAAAATTGGATAGTAATTTATAATGGTAGGTCGCTTGAGTTCTGACAATATTTGAGCGGCTTCCAACAACAATCAACGATCAACGACTAACAAACAATCGCCGGTCGCCTTTTACGGCCTTCTCCAAAGAAAGCTTTCGACGATCGTTTATTAGTCGACGATCATCGTTTTTGAGATATTGTAGAAACTTTAACTGCATGTTATTATAGGTTATTATCAATTTTTGGACTTCAATACACTAATTTAATATGTTGAAGTGTATAATTATAACTTTTAAAATTTTGATGACTTAATTAATTTGGGGTGGGTATTTCACCTTTAAAAAAAAAAAACAAAAAACATAAAAATGTAACCCCAGTAGAGTAATCAAAATTTGTTGCGGTGGGAAGCGGTACAAATGTAATATGAATGCGAAATGAAACGTTGAAACAATTAAACATCATCAATAATAATAATGGGAGTCAATTATTGTCGGGTGGTTTTGGACCCAGCTCAGAGGGAATATAAGCAGAGTGACGAAAATGCCCTCTGTTTTAGCCGTTACCCAAGCGTACTCTTGACATGTGTATATGTTAATTACGGACTCTTTTTAAGTATTTTATTATTTTGAGAGTTCTAGAGATCAAAATTCAACAACTGTTTTTTTGCCCTTACTATTTTTTTTTTTTTTTTTTACTCCATCTCTAAGTAATTGTCTTTTTCTTTTTAGGTGTATACTATCGTAAAAAAATTTAATTAATTAGAAGAAAATTAAAATTAAAAAGAGTCGATGTGTAGTTTAATTCTCTTTAATTGCAACAAAATAAATTATATTTCAAAATTGTCACATGTCACAGTGTCACATTAAAGATATTTAATTTGACAAATAATTAATGAAAATACGCTCCATTAGATAAATTAAGTTCCAATGTGCAATATTTATCAAAAGAAACGGACTCCCCCCCCCCCCCCCCCCCAAAAAAAAAAAAAAGAAAAATGGGAGTGGAATATTTTTCTTTTCAATTTAAGTAATTAAGCAATAAGCATTATATAATATTGTGGATAACATGATGACGATATACGAATGTGAACGTGTGACTTTAAGAACAAAGGTATAAAGTGAATGTGAATCCACTTTGGAAGAGGTGATGGTGGTATGTATATGACCTTTACAAGTAAACAATAGAAAGTTACGTTTTGGAGATCCAATCCCTTCTCTCGTAAGCCTTTTGTCGTTGTGAATTAAATAAGGAGAGAAAGCATGAAATAGATTGGACTCCCAAATCTGCTTGCAAATGTTTCACTTTTACACGTATAAAAAAATTTTACAACTACTAAATCAATAGTATGCATTGTGATGGTAGGAAAATTATGCTTTGGATTCGAGTCTAAAATGGTGTCGTTTTGTTTCAAAATGACATTGTCTGAATATATTTAAAAACATAAAAAATTGTTTCCTTCCTTACCATTTGCTTTCATAATTCATTCATTTATATTCACAATTTTAGAACTTTATATTAACAATTTTATATCTCATTATATAAAATTACAGAACTCAATATTAAAGCATTCATTCATTTATATTCACAATTTTAGAACTTTACATTAACAATTTTATATCTCATTATATAAAATTACAGAACTCAATATTCACGATTGCAGATCTATGTATTCGCAATTTTTAAACTAAATACTTACAAAACTCAGAACTTTATATTCATAATTTTAGATCAATTCTATATTCACAATTTTTTAACTGAATACTTACAATTTGCTTTCAGAATTCATTCATTTATATTCACAATTTTAAAACTTTATATTAATAATTTTATCTCATTATATAAAATTACAGAACTCAATATTAAAGCATTAATTCATTTATATTCACAATTTTAGAACTTTATATTAACAATTTTATCTCATTATATAAAATTACAGAACTCAATATTCACGATTGCAGATCTATATATTCGCAATTTTTAAACTAAATACTTACAAAACTCAGAACTTTATATTCACAATTTTAGATTAATTCTATATTCACAATTTTTTAACTGAATACTTACAATTTGAAACTGAATATCTATATTTACAATTTTTAACTGAATACTTACCATTTTAAATCTTACTTGAAACTCTATATTCATAATTTTAAATTTAAATCTTAATATATAAAATTACATAACTCAACTATTCATCATTTTTGAATTTTATATTAAAAATTTTAACTCTTAATAATTTATAATTTTAACTCTAATTTAAAAAAATAGTAACTTCATATGCATATTTCAACAATATGGAGATACAAGAACCTCATAAAACATGAGCCTTTAGCAAACCGCAAGACCAACAACTCAAGAATTTTAAACTCACAGCACAAATAACAATAATCAAAACGAGTTGGGCTTTCATTAGGCCCAAGAAAGACAAAAATTTTGGACTAGACTTGTTGGGCCCCTCAAGATGAAGAAACCCTCCAAAAATTGGCGTATGCCACTATTTGTGACGAACACACGGTATTCTTTAGTAAAAGGCGAAACAATAGTTCGCTATGTGCTCATCACGTGGCTGCGTGCTTTACAAAAGTCCTAAATTGCCCATTTTATAGAAGCCCAAAGCCGAGATACTGTCATTACTTTCCGATGTGGGAATTGTTCCCCTCTAGTCCTGTCTACACGAGTATACAAACTGGTGTAGAAACAGAGCAAACTCCTCAGTCTACAAACCTTTAACTACTTGGAAAAATCATCGTCTACATTTCCGGACAAAGGTATCACTACACATTTCATATAATTCGCAAACTACAACATAATCAACTACAAATTTGTTTATAATCTAAAAATGTGCATTCAATAAACCTCTACAGATATACTAAACTGGAACTTCACTCAAATACACTCTCTCCCCTAATTCTATTAGAAAAAAAATAAATAAATAAAAAAATAATAAAAAATTAAGACTACAAATTTGTTTATAATCTAAAAATGTGCATTCAATAAACCTCTAAAGATATACTAAACTGGAACTTCACTCAAATAGGTCCACCAATTCTATTAGAAAAATCCTGTATATTATGAAAAGAGTGTTAAGGATATACAGATATACTAAACTGGAACTTCACAACCATATTTGGCTGGCAAAAATCCTGTATATTATGAAATGAGTGTTAAGGAATCCTATTCATCAACTATTTTGATGGCTCAGAATAAAAATCAAATCTACGTGGGTTGAGCTTTCGTTAGGGACAACAATAAAAATTAAAAAAAAAAAAAAAAAAAAGAAGAGTTGAATTTAAACCTACAACGAAATGTCTTAAAAGAAGAAAAACCCTTACATATTACTTAACCAAGATTTTATTCCCACAGTTTAAGAAAACAAAACCTAAACGTGTTGGCCTTCTTTCGGGCACAGCGAAGATAAAATTCTTAAGACTGGACTTGGTTGGGCTCCTCAAGAAAAGGTGACCCTCCAAAAAATGGCGTATGCCACTATTTGCGACGAACACACGGTATTCTTTAGTAAAAGGCGAAAGAATAGTTCGCTATGTGTTCATCGCGTGGCTGCGTGCTTTATTACGGCCTTATATTGCCCATTATATAGAAGCCCAAAGCCGAAAGTATATCATTATTTTCCGATGTGGGAACAATTCCCCTCTACATTTCTGTCTTCTCGACTATACAAACTGGTGTAGAAAAAGAGCAAACTCCTCAGTCTACAAGCCTTCAACTACTTGGAAAAACCATTGTAATCATTTAGCTACTTGGAAACGAGCAAGAAAAACAGAACTGCATAAAGAAACGAGAAGTATAATAAGAGTACAACCTTACATATTCATTACGGAATTTGATTTCTAAGACATAACTTGTTCACTATTATGCCGATTTCTCATGAGTAATCTGTAATAAGTCGAGTGTGATCTCGTCTAGGAGCCCATTGAGCAGATGCCTCTCAACATCCCTTATGATTTCATCGTTTTCTTGGGATGTAGACATCATAGTATCCCAACCAAAGTCCCACATGCTGTTCAAATCTGGATGTATATTTTGGATGTCTTTCTCAACCATGGTATGCAGGTAGTCTGCTGCAGTGCGACAGTTTTCTCTCCCTTTTGACCAGTAAGAGTTCAGCATGTCGAACCCTTTGGACAATTGCTTGACCAGATCATCTAAAGATCTTACCTTTATGCAACCCATAGATGATATCTTTGCATAAGGGTGGTTCGAGAGTCTTCGTCTTCTCGCTTTTCGTTTCACTACTTCATAGCTGCAGTGTAGTTTGAGCTGAAATTCTGAACTTTTACTGTTGGGATCATTGGTCTGAAGGGTGCTGGTTGGAATGTTGAGCTTGAAGAGTGCCTCTATGGTGCTAAGAAATAGTTGATTGGTAACCAACACCTCCTTGAGACACTTTTCGGGTTCAGTCAGTGGTTCTTTTTTAGTAACACTAGAGATCTTCATGGGTCCTTTTTTATTTTCTGCAACAGCAAAGCGTTAAGGTCATCATACATTTCTGCAATTCAATTAATGTAACAGAACCTGGAAGCTTGGTGGGAACAAATCTACCTTGTTCATCTAGGAAAACTTGACAGTTCTTGTTGTTGGGATAATAGCTTCCTGCAGAAGAACATTTTAAGGATCAGATTAGATTCTTTGGGATTGAGCATGCTTGCATTTTATGTGGCAGGATAACATACCAGTACTAGAATGATTTGGTAAAATTTTCTGATGTTCCAGGTTTTGGCAATCATTTTCCCCAGCAATGTAGATGGAATCTTTTGTTTCACCCTGCAATTCTTGAGCTGAGCTTGGTGGTTTGCTACTTACTTCTGATCTGTGGATCATGGTGGTGTTTTGTTTTGCTTCTTGTGGCTTGTCTTGACTCAATTTGCCTTCTATGCCAGTGTGTTTGGCCATATCGCGTCTCAGCTGGTCTGTCGCTTTGAATATTTGAGTTTGCTTTCCAATTGATCTTTCCATATGCTGGGGAGTTCCTTTTCTACTCGATCCATCTATTTTGCGGATTTGAAAGTAATTTTCCTTCTTCTCTGCAGATGGCGCCTTGATAGGCTTTTTTCGGGCCTCCCTTGTTCTTGATGATAATTTTTTAGGCAATGCATTTTGGTTCATCTTTGGCAGATCTTTCTGAGGCATTCCAGTGGTGGACTTTGTACCATTTGTCTTACCATGTGAAGCTTGGTTAACCGGAAGCCGCTTCTCTATCAAACTAGGTGCCTTGTTTCTTACTGTTTGTGAAATTGTTGCTTCTGCTTGCCTCCCCTTGTGTTTATTGACCTGCGGTTTTTGCTTTGAAAGGTGCTGCTCTTTTCGGTTTGCCTGATTGTTGTCCCCGGCCACTTCAATTATATCCTTGGGCTTTTGTTGATTGTTAAGCAGAAGCCTGTCAGATGTTTCTTGAGTTGGTTTTGCATTCTTGGATTGCATGTTCTTCTCGTTCACCGAATCAGAATTTGCGATTTTCTTTAACACTAGACCTTCTTTCCTCTTGGAAGTTGAGTGTCTCCTCAAGGCCTTTGCATCTGCACTTTGGGGAAGTTCATCCAATCCCATGAGCTTTGCAATGACACTCGAAAGCCTCCCTTTCGTCTGATTCTTGAGCTCCAATCTTGTAGATTGAGCTTCATTTCGGTTAGCAGTTTCTTGCTGTTTCATTTCAGTTTCCACCGTCTTGTCGGGATTCCTGCAGGGCTCATCGAATGAAAATCTGGGAAGGTCGCGGGGTGGCTTCTGGTTGGCTACTTTTGCAGCAGTATCTTCCTCATCGTCTTCGAGTTTCATGTACTCTGATGCTTCTTGAAGGTTTACAATCATTCTGAGGGACTCTTCCAAATCCATGGCCCCTTTCAGGAGCTCCTTCCCAACTTGATTATTATTTGAAGGATGATAATGCTTCTGGAAACTGGTTAGTCTCTGGAGAAAACTGAGCATTGGGTTATTGCCTGAACAGTTCATTTTAGCAACTTCCCCAGAAGCTTCTTGCATATGAAATGATCTGTTGCTGATGCTTGACCGCTGTGAGTTCCCTATCTCTGAACCATCCTGGCAGATGCAACCAATGCAGGTTACACTTCTCATTATAAGCAATAAAATATCCAGAAATTTGAAAGAGTTTAACTTACAGATTCCATGGCTTTTATCTTCTGCTGTGATCCTCGCGAAAATCGCCCAGTCTCTGCATTTGCATCTGGTTCGTTTCCTGCAGGTTTTGTATAAAGGACTATAATGCACATTGACCAAACCAGACCGAATCTAATCAATTAGCTAGTATAACTTATTACCTGTAGCTATCTGTTCCTTCCGGCCCCGGAGGTCTTGCAGCAGCTTATGTGCAAAGTCTGATTTGGTTGCCATACTAGAATCACTGCAAAAAAAACCTGGGATCTATCGCGCCTTTCCGACGTTTTCAACTCCCTACACTAAGTGGCTAAGTACCTGAGAAGAGCAGAACTGCATAAGCAGCTCCATAGTAGTGCAGAAACAGTGTTAAAAGTGGAAATGAGAATACTGTTTGATTAAGGTTGTGAGCTCTGTGTTTCTTATACATTGGATGCAGAGGAATGGAATGTTTGTTTGTCACTTAGGTGAGAGTGCCTTTTCGGTGTTGGGTAAGGGAGATAGTTGGGAGAGAATAAAAGATAAGTTTTGGGAATTTTTATTGTATACATTATGACTTCTATTCCAATCCAAGCTACGTATGTGCCTTTTTTTATTCTAAGCGTTGCAATAAACTGCAATTTTTAAATGGTCAGCGGATGCTCGGGATTTGCTGGCAATATCTTTGAGTATCAAAATTTGATTTACCAAAAATGTACGACCGCTATTTAAAGGTGCGTTTATAGAGAAATTCACCTTACCCCAACACTTCAACAGGGTAGTTCGAGTGGCAAATGAACTCTCTTTGTGAGGGAGAATTTTGAGACAACCTGAGTTCAATTCTCAAAAGACCTGATTCCTTTTGGGTCAGGCACTCGGAGCAAACTGGGTAGACTTGAACCGTTAAATAACCAGATAAAAAACTCTGCAATAATCTGCATGGATGCTTCCTTTAATTGGCATCAACTTGCTGAACCTTCACTCCACATTTTGAATATTTGATGCATGGAGTTGCACTGTGGGTTTCATTCACGGTGAATGGTGTACGAAGGAATGTTGTATTTGCCATGGGATTGCGGCTTGGGTGGTGGTATTGGATGAACCTGATGCCCCATGACAATGAACCTTCATAACCAACTAATTGTGTCCATCAAGCTTGGGATTAGGATGCATAAATTGATAAAAAATAAAAAAGCATCGATGGAACAATACTTTAAGAAAGTTGGACGAATCAACTGAGGTATCCCTCTCTCATTACTATTGTTAAACTTGAATTTGTATATTATTAAAAAACAAACAAAAAAAACTTAACATGAAAATTTGTATAAATGACATGATGGTTGAAAGTCAAGTTATGACTTATATGACCATAATGTTAGGAAGGTTATGTTATATTCTTAATATATTGTATCTACTTATAACGAGAGTTATATATTAACATAATTATGTATGATAGGGTTATAGGGAAACTCACTTGTCCTTTGAGGCTCACAAGTGTACTTCCTGACCTCGTGAATGTACTCCCCAATCTCATAGTCTCGTGAATTCATTTCTTGGTCCCATAAGTGTATTTCCTTACCCCAAGAGTATATGCCTACTTACCGGTTGTGATATTAGTAGATTTTCAGTCATCTTTGATAGACACGTCGATTCCACTGTCACCTCAATAACTTTTACATGTCATGATTGATCTGAGTATCAAATCAAGGGATGCCACATTAGTCGTGCCAGCATTATGTTCCCTTATAACCCTCTATAAATAGAGCACTTTGTCTTGTGTGAGGGGGGTTTTTCCTCCCAATATACACCACTTCAACCAGTGGCAGAGCCAACCATCAAGTTCAGTCACTTCAGTGATGTCACTATTATATTAACATATTATTTTCACTTGTAAGTCTATTATGAAATTCAATATTTAATCAACTCCTCCGTATAATATTGTAATTTTAAAATTAAAAGTTACGCATATTATACATTTCGTGAAAATGTACAAATAAGAAATTCATAGTCACAATCCACATTTTTCAATCTCCTTCTAGATGAATTGACAGCACACTACACTCAGTGCATTTGGCATTCATACCTTCCTAACAAATAAATTCGTGACTAATACCCCCACATTTTGATTTGAAGCCTCTTAACATTGTGTGGTCGAACATTTACTTAGCTTTTCAGTTATGCCACTCACTTTCAGTTAACTTTCCGATCATACCATTATACTTTGAGTTAGTTTTACGGTCACATATAACATGATCCAAAATAATAAAAGTTATCAATGTAAATGTAAATATAATATTTCATGTTGTAACACCCAACTATCTTCCTTCTCTTTTTTAAAAACAAAGCTATAGCTTTCCCAAAAAAAAAAAAAAAAAAAAAAAAAAACCAAAATACAAAAAACAAAAACAAAGCTCTAATTCATTGGACAAGTATAACATTCCAAACACGCCAATAATTATTGTATACATAAAGCATTGAAATGAGTGACTGCATAGATGAAATATAATTATTTAATACAAAATTACGAGTTCACTTATTATTAATATTAGTATATAAATTTGAGTAATAGTTATAGTCTTATATAGATGTATCTCATAAAAAAGGCATAAATAAACTTAGAAGACCTACAATTGAATCACTAAACTAATTCATTTCATGCAATTCGTCCAATTTTATTGTTTTTCCATCAAATTTTAAAATATTTTTAAAAAATAATTTTAAACAAAATAATTATTTAAAATTTTTTAAAAAATTTCGTCTCAATGACTGGAGATGAAGATACTTTCTTTGTTTTTGGCCGGGTACGAAGTTTTTTTTAAAGATAATTATGTTATTTAATTTTTTTTTTAAAAATTATAAAATTTGGTGACAATTGGGAAAATTGACAAGTTGGACGAATTGCATAGAAGAGTTAGTTTAGGTATAGTATTTTAAAGTTATATAGCCTAATTGCATTGTTAATTTGTTATGTACATTTTAGTGACATATTTAACCTTTCATTTTTTTTAAACATGTTGTCGAAGACAATTCTAAATCTGTGAAGTAATGGGGTCTATTAAGAATTACGCCGTTCCGCAAGGCCTTTAGAATAAATAGTCTCACCGTGAGAACCACGTCAACCACGTGGAGACACGATGCAACAACGTCTCCAAACGAAGATGCATCTCCAACCGTCCGATTTAGTCGGTTACTGTTCATAGTCAACGGCCGCCCCGACGTCTACGTCTACGCGCATCACGCCGTTTACAGATCATCCAGCACATCCATCCTCAGCCGTCAGATCATCCCACCCCCTCAATAAATTCAAGACGCTTCTTCATCTTCAACTCCATTCATTTCTCCTAACCTCATCTTCTCAGATCTCTCATTTTTCTTAGATCTCTTCTTTGTTTTTTCTCTTTTTGCCATTTTTTCTTGAGATTGTTGTAGATCGACCGGTGATCTATCTGTAGACCATGGCTTCATCGTTTTTCGATTGGTATAGTAGAAGTCGTTTCTTTTCATCGATGGAGATCCGGTTGATCTGATTCAGGCCATGATAGATCTGCAGACATAGTTCAAAGATGTGATTCTCTACAAGACTTTAGGTACGTGTTATTTTTATGTGGTTTTTAGTGCGTCTATATATCTTTAGATCTATTTTTTCATATGACCTATTTTGTATCCTGAACTATACGCTGATCTGATACATATGATAGGTCTTCAAGGGAGTCGCGAGAGCGAATTGGAATTTTGCTGCCGGAACGAAGTCTGAGCGGCGGAGTACTTCCGAATCACTGATGTTCGATGGTGAAGATTGTTAATCAGATATTCAGCTGCATGTATGATAGTTTAATGTTATGCGTGCATCTGTATGAGAATGAAATCAAAGGTAAACGAGAGCGGAGTGAAAAAAGGTGTCGATGTTTAGTCGACCTTTGCCATGACGGGTGCGCTCTCATGGCAGGTCAAAAAAGATAATAAAATTTATGTTTCTTGTTTTGGAGGGGAGGTGGTACGTGGTTTGCCCGGCTCCTCCTCTCCTGTGCGTTGCGTCCTTTTTGCCTACCCGCCTTTCACAGATCTCGACTTGAGCTGCGATTATCATGATTCTTGTCCGATCTAATAAGGGCAAGCATCTCACTACACAATCGTAAACACCACCAGCAAAGCTTAACAGTTTGATCAATTCAATACGGCAACATCAGTAGAGGTATAACCGTCAATTTCTTCATCTAATTCCTATCAATTTAACGCTATTAAATCCCTTTTTCTATGATTATGATTATACATATCTCTCAGAACGCATTAAATCCCTTTTTCTAGGAGTATACATATCTCAGATTCTTAGAACGCTCGTTTCCTGTTAATAGTCTAACACGATATCTATTTTGTTTTATGATTTTATGAGGTAATCTTTATATACAATAATTCAATTGAATATTTGAATTATATTTCCATTTTATGAAAATTTCATGTTTGTCAATTCTAATTTTAGTTTATAATACTTGTAATTTAATGTGTATTTATACTCTTGTATTTCCACAATTTCCCATGCTCTTAGTTATAGCAGTAATCGATGTATGTTTGGCTATTGGCTTTTTTATCATAGTAATGCTTCTATACCATAAGACACACCGAGTCACTGGTCTATCTCCTTTGTCATCAACGCAAGGACTATATCTGGATGTAACAACAACCGCAACCACTTCTGGAGATCTATTTGAATATGAATCTGCGGTGATATGATTATTGGTAAATTGTTTCTGTTTGATTTGCTCAACGTTTTTATTTTACTCGTATAGTCGTATTGGAGCATTATACCATTTCCTGGTTTATAGCTTTTTGAGAATTCATAATATCGAATCGAATGTATCAAGAGTTTTTACTTTTAGTTAGTATTTATAATCAGTTACTGTCACATAGTTGTAATTATTTCTCTATAATTATGCTGTTATGAGTCTTATATATAGTTGTATGCCCTTTATCATACGGGCTAATTATGGACCTGAAGGTTTTTATATTCTATTCTGGTAATTCGTTATTGCATTGTGTTATTGTGTTATTATTTATGAACTGTATTATATTTTTATGAAAGATTTTGTAGTGCTAAATATTAGTATTAATTTCAATTATTATAAATAGATAGTGACATAATAATTTCTTTTTCATTTTTTATAGAAATCACATCTTTTAAAAAATTCATAATAGTTTATATCCTTGTTATTTGGCCTTGTAAATTGTTATATTTTAGCGTATTTTCATCCTAATTTATGTATTTATATATGTATGTATAATACTTTTTTATACCCGTTACATATTTATTTTTGTGACGAGAATTACTAATTGACGTAATAATAAAATGTTTTTAGATATTATTTCTCTTTGGCTGTTACCTAAAAATAATATAATTATTAGGGTATTAATTTAATGGATGCTGTGAATAATATAAGTCGCATTACAGCCTTTTTGTTGAATATAATTAAAATGCCAGGAAGTTGACTAAAATTAATCGGTTTAAGATGGTTTTGTCAATATAATCTGTGAATTGACGATAAGAATCGGCTCAATTTACCAGAATGATGGGTCTAAGAGCTCGAGTTGGGTGAGCGCTCAAATGTTGCATTTGGGAGGGCGGTGGTTCGATTCCACCTAGACCCTTGAGCTATTTCTACAAATACTTAATACTGATATATGCAGTTTTCTATTTTTTAGTGTTGCATTAATATTAATAATATTAATTTTATTCAAATTTAGTATAGTTTTAGTAAAAAAAAATAAAATTGATGTGGTTTATCGGTGTCTCTGGTTGGTTGTTATATCATGGACCAAACAAGGTGGGATTATGGTTTTAAGTTGTGTATGTTTAGTTTTGGTATTTTAAATTTCTAAAATATAAATTATATTTTTAAGTTTTTTTTTTTTTTGAAAAAAAAATTGATTTGTGTATATAATATATAGTCATCATTTGTGAATTTTTAAAAAGTAAATTGTATACATTTATAGTAGATTGTTCATTTTAGATTTGAATTCACCTTGCAAAATAGATATGGATTTACGGAATAATTTGCCGAGGCCTGTTAATTGTGAACATTGCAAGGTGTAACAGCTAGCTGGGCTTTACTTGTTTGCCACAACTGCTAGTTGTGCTTCCTAGCCCAATTTGCAACTTTTATCCTCTACGAGTTCTACAAGTGGACTCCAACAATTACCATCACAATGAATTGTACTATCATTATGGATATGCACAATTCTGGTCTTAAATAACGTATTTTTGAATTTGAGTTTTAATTTTGACGGTGACGGATTGTTATTCAATTTATGTTACAATTTTTATATTTATATTTTTTATATGTTGTAAAACATGTGTTTGTTTTTTGCGTGTTATGTGTTTTCTCCTCATGTTATGTAATTTTGTAGTTTATAAATTTTGTATCTAAAGTAAATATAACATGCGTTTTTGTATCTTGTATTATGCACTTTTATATCTTATGTTATGTAATTTTGTACTTTAAAAAGTAAATATAAAACAAGTGTATGTGTCTTTTGTTATAAGTTTTTGTGTCTCATAATATACCATTTTGTATTGCGGTTGACTTTTATACTTGAAATGAGAATACGTGTAATGTCATTATTATATAATAATAATAATAATAAGCAACACGTCTATTTTTGTCATTTTTTTACACTTTTTCCTTTCCTAAAAGCATTGAATTGTGCAAACCGAACACTATAATTGAAGCCTTAATTGAATTATAATTCAATTACAACTAAATTACACCCCTTAATGTTGTGTATTGGTTTTTAATGTTTATTTGAGAAATAATCTCATTTCTTCTTTCAGCTTCAACAATTACCTTTCTAATTTTTAAGGAATTATTCAATTACAAAAGAATCTGTTTTTGGTTATATACTTTTCTTGTAAAAATCTGATATATATATTTTTTTTTCTTTTGGTGCTTGGGGGTACCTGGGGTCCCCACTCCACTAAGAAATGCTTTGCGTCATGGCGATCTCTTAAGTAGTGAGGTGGTTCTTATCGTGTTGATCCAAATTGGCAAGCATGTTAGCACATTTGTTATCTTTCCGCAGAACATGGATTAGTCTCACCATCTCCAAGCTGTTTGCGATTGCCCACCATTTAGCACATTGCCCTATAGACCACTGGGGAGATTCTCTCAATCCCCAGAGCTCTTTGACTGGCACCAAGAAGCCAATATCCCCAGTGGTCTCTAAATTTCTGATTGCCCCCTTAGTTTATTAGTCAATTTTAGCTTATTTGATCATTATTAGTTGTTTGATATGGTTAAACAATCAATATAAGTGTTTGATTAATTAGCTTTTTGTAACAACTTATTGTTCTAAAATACTAAAATTCAAAAAAATGCTCGAAACAACTTTTTCGATCAGATTTTTGAGAAAGTTATTTTGTATGTAATTCGCTAACAACTATTTATCAAACACTTTTTTTACAATGAACTCATTAACCCAATCAACTAACAACTATCCGCTAACCGTTATTTACCCAGCACACCCTTCTTTTTTTACCTTGCCAAATAAAGAGAGTTAACAAGTTGGGCTCATTTTCCACAATATACCAAATCTGATGATATCCACGTGATATCATAATTGGCTCTTATCTCAATTCCAATTTTATTCTTTTACAATAATAATTTACCACTCCTCCAAACGCTTTCACTTGTCCCATCCTAAAACCGTAGTCCATAAGGAAATGTGCTTCAATTTTCCTTGTATTTTAGTACAAGGAGTTGAAATATCAAACTTAATTTAATTGATCAACTAGATGAGTGGTAACCATGAGCCAATTCTATTCATTTTCCTACCTTGATGTGGTTGTGATCCACTTACTCTATCTTTCCATGGAGGAAAATGTAAGTGATCGAGATGGGTATGCTCATTTTTCTCACCCCGACACCCACTTCTTAGCTTGTTGGCATATTGTTGGACGTTTTTCATTCTTTTGAAATTTGGCTTTTTTGGCTGTTTGATTCCTCCATATTTTCATTACAATTTCAACTATTATTTAGTATTCGAGAAATTTAAATTAGTGCTAGACTTGAATACATGACTGAAAATAAATACTTCGTATTGTTCTACTTGCTCTTAAATAAACTCTGTTATTGTGTAGTAGTCCGCAAATCATACAAAATAAGTAAATTGTACTAAGAAAATCTTATACGAGGGCTCAATAAACAAAATATCTGTGATTTTAATGGAAGAACGTATAAGTGACAAGCCCCTAGCTCCCTACGCAATAACTAAGCAAATGTCAAACAACCTGTCCAGAAAAAAAGTGGTCGGGTGGGTGGAACATGATTATATTTTCGTACCTAAAAATCACTGGTAGGGAATACCCCGACCGACATGCCACGTGTTTTATTCTTGTTTATGCAGGTTACAGGTCGGATATTCTTAGAAGAACCCGGTCGTACCCGACCGGCGCATTGCCCGACCGAAGTCTTCAGTTCCTGATCGATAGCCCTTAGACGAGAGAGTCGAGAAGAGGCACATGGCAGCGTTAGGCGTTGACAGGCAGAGCTTGCGGGGTGAAGACACGTGGTTGCTACGTGGGCAACATGCCGGTCGGCCGGAGCTGTGTCTCCGGCCTAGCGGCTATAAATACCCACCGTGGCAACAGTGTAGGGGACTTTTTGAACGATCGATAGGCTATTTACAGAGCATTCCGACCGCAGTCAATCGGCCCTCGTTGTAGCCACTTAGATTGTATTAGGTCCTTTAACACGTCAATAAAAGATTTACTTGTTTTATCTTGGTCGTATTATTACTTTGACCGCACTACGTGGAATTAGTACTATCAATCACGAATTCGATTCTTGCCAACACTTTTCCGGACGAGTCTGTTGCACATGTGTAGTTTACATCTCTCGTATAAATTGCAAGCTACTACATAGGAACGAGATTTACTCGTACACACTCTTAATTAGTAATTACAATTTCTTTCACCCTTCCAGAAAAAGTCAAGGAACTTCTAGAATATAATGTGGACATGTGGTGCATGGTGTTATTTATTTATTATTAATATTTTAATGTTGGTCAATGAAATAAATTATATCTTTGATTTTAGTTAAAGTGTTGGAAGGTTCTATTAATGTTCAATTGTTTATTTATGAATTGCTCCGTGACTACCAAAAGTCTACCCAGTGATTCTTTAAAAATTCTTCCAAAAAATTTAGAGAAGTTAAGTTCTTGTGAATTTTGAAAATTATTATTGTGAACTTTTTAAAATTAATCATATGATACGGACTTATACAGAGTATCGATTTTAAAATATTGTCCAAAAACAAGTAGTCAATATATATAAAATATAATTCTCGTATCTAAAAGTTACGAATTAGATATTTGTCAATATTTTCTTGATAGAAGCCCTTACATGAGTCATTCCTTAGTGTGACTTACATTTTTTGTGTAGTTTGTAAATTATTACATATAAATATGATTTATTCAGTGCATACTTTAAATGATAGTTGTAAGTTTTCATGTAACTTGATAATAAATTTGTTTGGTACAATTTAAACTTTGCACCATATCATAGTAAAACAAAACTTATAAAAATATTTTAAATTGGTTCACAAATTAGCCGATAATCAGGAGCCATAACAATAAAATAAAATAAAATTTCGAGTAATATAAAGTTAGGCCTTGGGCCATCGCCCATCGACATTGACTACGAAAACATAGAGGCAATTTCCAAATTGAGTGGAGAGCTGACTAATATATTTTGTGCGAATGCACGGTCAAGATTGGCTAAGGCGACCAATCACGGCTTCGGTAAAGCCGTCACCCACTTTAGTTGCCACTAAACAAGACATAAATCAGAGGGCCATGTGGTGTCTGACTGTCTGTGACATGGTGCAGTGTAACCCACGTGTCCCCAAAGCATTTTATTTTAGAGTTATACGTATTCCCAAACCTAAATCCATATATTTTATTTGTTGATGTGGCAAATTCTGATAAATTACATTTTTCATATGTGTTGCAATATAAGTGTTTAATTGTCTATATCAAGATTTTGTGTGAAAGAGTAAAATTAGAAGTAAAAGATAAAAGTACAAATAATATTTTTTTTATTTTATTTTATTACACTAGACTAATCTAAACCCTACCCAATATCGTTAAAGAAAGTAAATCACGAGTTCTTCACCTATATACAACAAATTTTATCACTTTTAATCAATTTTTTAGATTTCGAGTGACGCACATATCTTCGACGAGAATCAAATTTTCACCCTACCGTTAAACAAGACTACCAAAATTATCATCCAACTATTGAGTAAAGCCCCATGGCCCCCAAAAGCATTTGAAACATGAGTTCTATTACATGAATTTTTAAATCTGACTTCTTAAGGGGATGTTTGGTTCATGGAAAATGTTTTCCTACATTAGGAAAACATTTTCCTTACGGTGAAGGAAAATGTTGTTTTGTGGTGTTTGGTTCATGAAATTCATTTTCCCCGATTGAAAAATGAATTCTTCAAATTTGAGGAAACCATGGGAAATGGGAAGAAAAAGTGGGATGGACTACCAATTTTACCCTTGTTTTTTTTTTTTTTTTTATAATTATATTACTCTTATTAATTTGTAAGGGCATATATGTCTTTATACTCGTTATTTCTTACAATTTCAAATCTAATCAAACAATAGAATTAGTATTCTCAGTAATTCTTTTTCCACCAACCAAACAATGAAATTCATATTCCTAATAATTGTTTTTCCGTGAAATTTCAAAAATTTCACTTCCTTTAAAATATTTTTCGCGAACCAAACGAGCCCTAAATTTTACTTTAATTGTCTATATCAAAATTTGATGTGTGGGGTAGATATAATATTTTTCTTTAAACACCGTCCACACTTCCACGTGTGCCACGACTTTGAAACCTCCGCCTTTAATTAAAGAACATAAAACTTCTGTATTTAATATCGCATTCCCTATGCTGTTTTCATTCATTTTGATTCCCAATCAGTGGCATTAAATTTATCACTTTATTGTATTAATCATAATAATAACTAACAAATTGATTTATTATTCTCTCAAATATATTTTAAAAATTTAAAGAATAAACCGTAATAAGAAATTTCGTTCAAATTCCTTTATTGGAAAGTATTATTTAATTTTCATTTTTTCTAATTTTAAAAATATAAAAAAAAAAAAGGCACAATCATGCCATATAAAGTGACTATTTTAGTTACCATGTTGTGGTAGTTGATTAGTCATTGGTTTCATCTTGAATTTCATTTGTTATAGTCTCTATATGAAAAATTAAAAAAGTAAAAACCGCACAAAAAAAAACATAAATATGTGTAAATAAGACAAAAGTAATACGAAGTAATTGTCTATAGCATCAAAATCAAAATAACTATAAAGAAAAATATACTATAAAATTTATAATATTATGTAATATTACAGAAAATTGAACAGTTTTATGGTCAAATTTAGTTAGTCAATCGATCTAAAATAAGTTTACTAGACAACATGTTTTAATATGACGTACATCAATATAAATCGTATATGGTATAATTATGTATAACATGAGCAACATTAAAAAAAATCATAAAATTGTTTATATAAATGAAATTAGTAAGTTAACTGCAAAGAGAGAGGTGAGTAACGTTTATGCTTTGAATGGTACGATTTGCAGGTGGAAATGGTGTGATATTTCCTTGAAATAGAACTCGCCAATTCACAGCTTTTCAGCTCGATATCTCTTCCTCACCAGGTATGATCACTCCCACCTACCCTGTAAGCTCTTAGCTCCACCACCGTTGCCGCCCAGGAGCGGCGGCGGCGATCTCCTGTTCTTCAATTTATGTTAACTATTAACTTACATATACTCTCTTTTCATCAGAATTCTAAGTGATGGATCTGTTATGAGAGTTTTCGAGTTCTCTTTTCGGTGATTGCTATACGGTGGTTGAGTGGTTGTTGTCGTGAGTGTGTTGACTTTTCGTCGTAACCGGATTTGGTAAATTTTGGTTTGGAATTATGAAAAACTTTTTTGTTTTTGGAATTTATCATAGATATATTGTGGTTAATTTTCTGTGAATTATACATATAACAATTATGTGGTTCCTCTGGTATGTTTGCTACGATTGTTTATGTAAATGAAATATTGAAATATGAAGCAATGGAAGCTCTGATGTTGTATTTTACACTCTTATGGTGTTTTGCTTTTATTGTTCTTTTAATCATTAACAAGTGTTTTCTAAATTCTTTTGTTTTGTTGATGTTTCTGTTCTGTGAAATAATACTGTGGAAAAATGTATATTTTCAATGTTCATAAATTTCTTCCTCATTTCTTTTAGTGATGAGTTTGCAGGTAAAGACTAGAGAATACTGATTGATTAGACTATCGGCATGTTTCGTCGCAGAAATAATTCTCACCATGAGCAGGGGGCTGATGAGCAGCTGCAGAAGGTAATGAAGATTTCAGATCCCTTTGTTGTATTATGAACATATGTAATTTTTTTTTTTTTTTAATACTAAATACAAACCGAGGATGATCAATTGAAGTTCTGAAACTATTCTGGTTTACATTTGTGTGTTAAGTTCTTGTTATATACCTATTATGATTATGATTTTGTGATGTGTGGAATGTTGTTTTGATAATTTGATCCTTGTTTAATATGGAGTGTTAGTTGGAAAGGGTTTGGTTTGAACGTTAGTTGAGTATTTATAAATTTTCTTAGAGCTGAACTAGATCATATCGTGCTATAAACTCGTATCGTTTGGAATTTTCTTGCAGGTTAATGAACTTAGGACTTCTCTTGGGCCACTCTCGGGCCGCAGCTTGCAGTACTGCACTGATGCATGCTTAAAGAGGTATTTGGTAGCGAGGAGCTGGAATGTGGATAAGGCAAAGAAGATGCTAGAAGAGACGCTTAAATGGAGGTCAACATTTAAACCTGAAGAAATTCGCTGGGTAAGGGGAAAACATTCTTCGTTTTGTGTTAGCTTTAGGGCCTGAGGGTACACGTTATAGCCTCTGTTGGTTTGTTTTCCCGTGATCTTTTTAGTTTCTAGAGGAATGGATGTTAAAGTTCTGCTGATGATACGACATTATTGAATTTGTTAGCACGAGGTTGCAATGGAAGGGGAGACTGGAAAGTTATTCAGAGCAGGTTTCCATGATCGCCATGGCAGGACTGTTCTTATATTGAGACCAGGAATGCAGGTGATACATTATATTGCATTCGACATCAGTCCTTTCCTTCTCTTCTTCATCTCCCATCTATCTATTGTTTTTAAGGTTTTACTACTTAATTGAGACTGATAATGGCTGTTGTTAACATTCACAGAATACAACATCAATCGAGAACCAGATGAAGCATTTGGTGTATCTCATAGAAAATGCTATAATTAATCTTCCAGAAGGTCAAGAACAAATGGCATGGTTGATAGACTTCACTGGATGGTCTATAACCAATAACGTTCCTATCAAATCTGCTAGGGATACCGTAAACATATTGCAAAATCACTATCCGGAAAGACTAGCTGTGGCGTTTTTATACAGCCCTCCGCGAATATTTGAAGCATTTTGGAAGGTTTGCTTTCGTTCTCCTTTACTCTTCTCCCTTCCCTGTTACCAGACAAAACTTCAAATTTTGTTAACTTTATATGATGTTTGTTATATTAATTGGTGTACAAAGTAGGCCATAAAATCATTGATGTTACTAGCAATAAGCACATGAAATATGTCTTTGTTAGCTGAGATCATGGATCATATACCTTGCAGAGCAAAAAGCTCAAAGAATGGTAAATTGGGGGTTGGATATCCTTTTTTTTTTTTAATAACGAGGAAAACCTGAAGTCACTACCCAAGAGTGTGCACTGGGTAAACCTCGAGATTGGATATCTTGATATAGCATATATTTGGTGAATCAATCATCAGCATTAGTTGCATTGACAACTGCAAATTGAGTGTTACTTTGCTTTTCCCTACAGATTGTCAAATATTTTCTGGACCCCATTACCTTTCAGAAGGTCAAATTTGTGTATCCAAAGAACAAGGATAGCGTGGAACTGATGAAATCATACTTTGATATGGACAATCTCCCAACTGAATTCGGGGGTAAAGCAACGCTGAATTATGACCACGAGGAGTTCTCCAGGCTAATGGCTCAGGACGATGTCAAAACTGCCAAGTGGTGGGGTTTTGAGAAGAGCCATACCATTGCCAATGGCTTATCTAGCGCAGAAGTTGCTCCTGCTCCTGAGCCAAATCGTCTCGCCTCACCAGTTGAAGCCTGATAATGCCTTACTCCAGACACCAGAATTCTGGTGTTCCTAACTCAGTTCAAATATTAATATTATTACAAGTATTTGCTCTGAAGCACATCCTTCAGGTATTATGTGTGTTATTGTATAACTATATGAGAAGCTTATACTTCATGGCAGCTGGAATGCCTAAAACTAGGTGATATGATACTTCTTGTAAAACTGCCAGCTTAAAAGCCTATGATGAGTAAAACTAAATATTCTCTCATCCCATGTCTCTTGCTGAACATGGTGAGATCACAGTGCCACAATACAATACTTTTTTTTTTTGGTGACAAGAAAACTTGTAGCCGTTACCCAATGGTGTATATTGGATAAACTCTATTCATGTGTAATAGCATACAAACCACAGGAAAAATAATCTGTACTAAGAAGACTTCATGCGACGAGTTCGACCAATAAGGTGTTAGCAATAATCAGTTTAACCTTTGACTATCGTGGATGAACAAATACCATCCTCAATTGTTGTGATATTAACCTTTTTGTGTCGCATGGTAAAATAATATGGACAATTTCAAGAGTTCCCATCTCACTACAGTAAAAATAAAATAAAGAGTAAGGCTTGAGGATAAAAGGGCAAATATTATTTAAAAGAGGAAAAGGAGAAAAGCTTACAAGAAACTGAATGATGGCTGGCCACACTTGTTCAAGAACAAGCATCAACCCTCGTTAAAGTTTCAAAAAACATTGATTATTGAAGGCAGGCAACCATTTTTTTTTTTTACTATAAAAATCGCCTTCTAAGGTTTCGGGTAGTGGCCTGGTAAGTGCGGGCTAGCAGTCCGATTCCCACACAAATGCCAAACCCAATCCCGACACCTACCCTCACTCCTGCATTGAACCAGGAGAGTTCTCCATCTTCGCCATCCAAATATTCCATCTGTCTCCAGTACATGCTTTCATTTTCGGGTTTATAATAGCTTCCATACTCCGCTATCTGCTAAGGCAAAATGATGAGTGCGTTTACTAACTGGACAAATTTTCCATTTTTTCTGGAGAAAGGCAAACAGAGAACGAAAAATGGAAAACCAGAGAAAGAAAAACCGGAGAATTGAAGTAAACACAGGCTTAGTTTCAAAACAATTGCAACAACTAAGAACTCCAAGCAAGAAGGTTTAGGTGCAACCAAGTTACCCAAGTTGAGCTTGGTGATGGTTAGGGTCCTCTTTATGTATTAGTATGACTTTTTACGGGGAGAGAATTGATTAACAACAAATAGCCTCAATCCACCTTTAATGCTACAAGAACATAACTAGAGAATCTTATTTTATCATCTGTGGGAAAGGACCTGCAATTAAGCCAAGATTCAGCTGATTCCAATTCATTTCTGAAACCTAAGAGTGAGGGTTGGGGCCCATCAAGCTGCTACAGTGATGATTTCCACGAATAACACATGGCAATGCAAAAGAAACCAAAGGAGAAATTGATGGGAAACACACAATTACTTAAAAGACACCGTGTGCCCACTGCCAGTGGCGGACCCAGAAAACTTTTCAGTGGGGGCAAAACGCATTAAAACAAAAGAGATAGTTTGATAAAAAATAAAACACTTAAAAGTATAACCATAAATATTGTTGAATGTGGACGAAAAATAAAACACATCAAAACTTTATAAAAAATAATATTAAGTATTTAAAAGTGTCATGAAATAATATAACAATCTGCAAACACGCTGAGGATACCCTGGCTTCTTAGAAATATAAAACGCGGGCCTTGCCACCTGATCTAGTAACCTTTTGTTAATTTTTATCTATTTTATTATACTTATACTAAAACTTGTACTATATATATATATATATATATATATATATATATATATATATATATATACAAGGGTTATATATGGGGTGAGGGTGGGGTGAAGGGAGGGCAACTGCCCCCATGCTGGGTCCGCCCCTGCCCACTGCCCACTCCCTGTGGCATTGTCCAGGATAAGATTACTCTGTTGCATTCTAAAATCCTGTGAACAAACCCACAGCCCTTTTTGTAACAGCGAAGTATATTTTATGACAGGAGAAAAAGTGTGCTGGATGGATGCTACAACATCTGGAATTGCCTCCTATGTCACAGCACATATCTTGTAACATGTACAAAACATAATAAATTATTCTCCGTCATCCTTTTTTTTTTTTTTTTTTTTTTGGGAGTACTATTGACCCTGTTACATGTAGTATCTGTTCATATATACTTTCTCAACCTACTAAAGCCCAACGAGTCAATACCGCCTCAACTGAGACTTGAACCCATGACCTCCCACTTGGGAGAGTCACTTCATGCCGCTTGACCACAAGGTCTTTGGCTTAGAACACAAGTAACTAATGGTGTAGTTAATAATCATCATTAGAAGAAATTTGAGGGAGATTTGAAGGATGTGTTCTGTCTCAACTAAAAGTTCAAATTGATAGTGAGACTGTACATTTATATTTTATATATATTACACTCAACAGGGAGGATGAAATTTTTTAAGGCAGACATGAAGACTGCAGGGGAAGGAATACTCTATCCATTCAAATATTCAATATTATCTATTGTCAGGATGATGCTAAACCTCCTATGATACCAATATAATTGAAACTCATATAATAATAATAATACTCGATAGTAAAGAAAGTGTGTAAAACAACTTTCTTAACTAGCTTCAATTATAAAAAGTAAGCATGCAGTTGCTTCTCACAAACAATTCTACAAGACAGGTGTTAATTAAAGCTGACTTCAACTATAGGTAATTATAAGCAGAATTCCGCTACATGATGCATCTTTAGCATTATGATAATGTAAAAACATCAAACCATCACATCAAAGTACAAATATGGTAAATGGAACCGAAGTAAAATGCAAATAATACCTGTAGATCGATTCCAGATGCAACATCTTTCTGTATGCCAGTTGTTTCGTGTTCAGGAATTGGGTATAACATCCCCTTGCTGTGATGCTTCTTCCTGAGATTAAGCTGCACACTCTTGGTCAAGATGATTGGTGTTCCAGAGAAGCATCCAGCAACGTAAACTTCAACCATAGGTGATAATGATTCAGGACCCGTGATGGGTTTTCCTTTCAAGAATCCAGAGCCAGTGCTCATCACTGATTCACAATTCATGCTCCATCTTTGAATACTATTCTTTGACTCCCCAATGAAACCGTTGCTATTGGACTTATCCAGAACCCCAGAGAGCACAAGATCATCTCTATCAAAAACCTGAAATTTCATGCTTCCTGTCAACCTTATACTGTCTGTGTTAACAAATGTAGCTACTTCAGATTTCTTATCCACCCGGTCCCTCCGCAGAAGGCAAGAGGTTCCTTCAGAATATGTGGAACATCTGGCACCATTCACTTCAAGGAGTGTATCAAGGTTCAGGGGGATATAGTCGACAGTGAGAAACTTAGGGGTTGAACCATTGACTACAAAATTGCTGATTCTGATATAGAAAACTCTTATATCAAACCAAGACAGTGATGATATGCTGAAGGCACAGAAAGAAGGGTCTTGGTGACATGTATCGGCTAGTCTTCCATAGTTCAGTGATTCACAAGAGTTCTCCATCTTTCAGGAGCTTAAACCCAACTTGACTTAAATCCTTCACCAACAACTGAGATGAGAAAACTTGAAAACATGGAAAATCTGGACTCATGTAGGTGCCCTGCTTCCAAACCAGTATGCCATTTGCTATTCAGAAAATTATGAAATAAATAGTTCAGGAAATTACAAAATAACAAGAATAGCAAGAACTGCAAAGAATAAGCCTTCTTCCAGACAAGTTTTTCATACAACTTAAACAGTCAGACATCTCAGATGAAGTCTGCCAAGTAGGACCTAGGCTTTAATGACAAGGAAGAGAAAAGAAAAGAGTTGAAACTATGAGGCCACATAAGGTCATAACCTAACTGTAGTATTAACAGGGATTAAAACTTACTGAGTAGATTCTTGAATTCTCTGTTCAAGTGTATACATACAAACATATTATCCATGAAAAAGTGAAAATAAGAAAAAGCCATAACAATGATGTGAAGGAAAACTAAAGACAACCCACCAGTAAATTTTCCTTGGATGACAAATTTTACCCAAAAGCCAATCAAAGTTGAAATATTTTCTACCTCATAGATATCAAAACTTTAAAAGAAACCAGAGACTGAGCTCAACTATAACTCATGGTTGTTGGCAAGAGCTGGAAAAATAGTTCAAGGAGCATAAACAATGCAAGCAGACAAACCCACCCACACTCTGGGCTCCAAAACAGTACTGAGATGCCCAAAAAGAAAACAAAGCTCAATACAGACAAAGGCCTCAAATTTTTATTAATTATATATTATAGTGAAACTATACCCATAAATATGTGTATATATATAATTTATATAAACTTTACTTAGAAAAACTTATATCCATATCTTTTTTTTGGTGTCAAGTGTGATCTCTCCAATCGTTCTCAAGCTCCAAGCTAGGAGCTTTAGATCTTGTAATATCCAATTTTGTGGCCCTAATCAAATACACCAACCCTTCAATTTATAATCTTCCTTCCAATCAAAATCTGTCATTTTTCATCTCCCTCTAACAGACATGCTTATCTGATAATAACAAAGCAACAAAATACAAAACTAGAATGCCAGAGATAATTATTAAAAAAAAAAAAAAAAAAGATCAGAAATTTTCCTAATCATTTGTTGAAAAACTAAAAACGAATTTCTTGATACATGTCTATTTAACGGTCTGGACAAAAAAAAATTAAAAAATCATAATTTTGTGTGCTTGTATTAAGCATTTAGAAATGTTGATGGCGACGGCGAAAGGACTGCAGGCTAAGAGAGTAAAAGAGATTGGTTTCGGAGTTTTAACATTATTATTATACAATAATAGTACATGATCTTATCCGAAACTGGGGGGTAAAGAAATTTCAGAACTACGAGGTGGGTTTCTTACATGAAAGTGATGGTTAGGTTCATGAATTTGGTCCAAATGTACGTTGAAGAAATGCTGATGGCGATTTGCCGATTTGCAATGGCCGCACGCGAAGGGTGACACGTAAAACGACATGTTCCCGGTTGGTCCGGTTTCAGACTTGAACCGGCGATTACGGTTCCTTCATATGCGAGGTTCGGTTATAATTCGCGGCAATTCCGGGCCAGTTCCGAGCCTTTTTGGGCCTCTCTAATATGGGCTTACTTGTCACTCTTAATGGGCAGGCCTAATCCATAAGTCTCAGACAATAAAGTGTAAGAAAACCTTTATGGACAGACCGACGGACCAGGCTTATTAGAATTAATAAGGAAAGAAGTGCTATAAAGACTAAAATGTCTTTATGTAATAATAATAATAATAATTAAGGGTAGTAGTGTTATTTCATTCATTCTTTCCTTTCCCACAACCATTGAATTGCAATATATGAGAGTATCCATGAATTGCAATTCAACAAAATGATGGAATTGTAATTCCCTTTAAACAAACATTGTAATTTGGTTGACCAAAGAATTGCGGTGAAATTACAATTCAATTCATGTCTAATAAACAGCACATCTTAAAGAGATAAGGTACTACACATGTTTCTACTTTTTCATTTTTGACTCATTACTTAGCTGACCTTCTCTAATCTATTAAAGAAAAACAGTGAACTACATTTTTTGTTATTTTTTATCAATTAAATTATGACATGCGATAGAAAATTTGCATTTTAAGGGTATATTTATCATTTTCTATTTTCCCACCGGGGTGGGTCTATCTTGAAACCTACATGTTTAACACGTACTTGGTGTATGGATATAGTTTTTTGTCATGCTTCCAATAAAACATAGGAGTACTTGGTGATAGACAGAGCAGCGGACGCAGGACGTCAAATGTTTAATTACAAAACGTTGGGAACCACTCCCCTTTTGGAGAATAATAGGTCATATTTTAGTGGGTGCCACCCCCCAGCTGTTTTCTGCCACTTGTCAGTTGTTAAAGCGACCGCATAGATATGAAATATATCTTAAACATTATTTATGTGTTTGGATTGTTATTTCAGTAATTCTTTCCTTGGTTTAGACTAACACTACAAAATTGGTATGTGTGTGATGTATAACTAAACTCCCTTTGAGAGTAGACAAAGTTTGATTATAGAAAGGTCTGTAGTAGAGCCAATTACCAAATACCAAAATAATTGAAACCCCAACATCTTTGCTTTTAATGCTACTTATAACTCTACTCGACAAAGGACTATAAAGAAGTAACAAGTCTATTGCTTCTCTATTTTTGCTGTAACTCGTGAGTCGTGACCTTAGCCAGTAAAGTAGCAAACCAGCTCAAACCAAAAAGACTAATAGACAGCTATCATGGAGAGTCGAACTAAAAAGGCCAATAGGATGTAACTTAATTTCATAAGACGTTGAACTTGAAACTTTGTGGTTATCAAGTTAACTGTTTGATCAACTCGGTTGTATTTCCCCTCATGTTTCTTTTCTCATCCTACTATCCTAGAACTTGAGATTGACAAACTAGTGGTAGACCAACCCAAGAAAACGACTCAAACAAAAGGGGTTAAGAATAGGAACAGGAATATGAGATTGGTGGTAGTCGTGGACTACTTCATTACCTTCCTTTAATGCCAAAGAGAGAGCTGGATATACGATTCAACTATTTTTCTCAGACGTTGGTTGTGTGTGGCTCTCTTTCCTTATCCCCTACTAACAAACCCCTCTACTCCTTCCAATCATATATTGCATGGCTTATCTCTTCATCCCCTCCCTTTCATTGTTCTTCCAAACTAAATTTCACAGTGATCACACAGTATGTCTGATCAAGAGAATGGCCTGCCAGCTGATGAGCTGTGGCCAGAGCTGAGGCTGCCCAACTCATTATACACCGCCAGCGTTAGTGAACTCCATGCGGCCATAGAGAACGACTGGGACAACTTGCGAAGGTCTGCATGCCAGACGGCGGCAGGGAGGGCATTATGGAATCATGTGATCCATGACCCGTTAGCAGAGGTACTAGCAGGAGAGACGTACCTGAAGAGCCTGTATGACAAGATTTTGAAGGATCGTTTGAAGAATGCAAGTGAAGTGTCGGGGGTAATCATTGCAGTTAGAACTCTCTGGTTTGATAGAAAGCTTGAAGCAGCCATCAATTCTTTTGATGGTGGAGCAGCACAAGTTGTTCTTCTTGGAGCAGGTTAGTGATCTCTTGAACCTATAATTATAGGGAAAAAACAGTTACATTATCTCACATAATTTTGGGTAACAGAAATTTTCCTATCTGCAACTTACTATGACACTTCATACACACACATTTGGTCATTTCAAATAATGGATCAATAAGTGGCTGTGGAGTGTGGAGGCTCATACCAGTAGACAATTTTGTATCAAAAACCATTTATGTTGAAATAGACTTGATAATGCATTCTAAATTTACTTTATTGTACTACAGCTGAATCAGGGAAATGAAAACTGAATTGACAGTGGCTGTCCAGCATCCAAACTTAAGTTTTCCTACATAGAATTCTTTCACTATCCGATAACCATACTAGTAAAGAAGATATTGACAAATTTCATCCATATGTATGTGCTTACCTGTAGGGATGGATGCAAGGGCATTTCGCTTGAGTTGCTTAAAAGATATTGACGTCTTTGAGGTAGATTTCCCAGAGGTCCTGCAAATCAAATCCACTATTCTACAGGCTGCAGCAGAGGCAACAAATGAACATAAGAAGATAATGATGACAGCAAAATCATTGAGAAGAGTGGCAGCTGACATCAGAGAAAGCAACTGGCTGGAAAAGCTTCAAGTATCAGGCTTTGAGATAAAGAAGAATACAGTGTGGATTCTAGAGGGTATCCTCTACTATCTCTCGCACTCCCATGCAATGGAAGTACTAAAACTTATTGCAGATAACTGTGCCTTTACGCATACAGTACTCTTAGCAGACTTCATGAACAAACAATCAACCACAATGTCCACTTCACTGTACCATTTCTATAGTGATTGGCCTGATCAGTTACTTCCAACCCTAGGGTTTTCTGATGTTAAACTCTCTCAAATTGGTGACCCAGATGCCCATTTTGGGTTGTTGAATGATCCACTAAATTTGTTCAACAAGCTGCGCAGCTTGCCAAGATCACTTCAAACTAACCCTGCTGATGGAACACCATGCTGTCGTTTGTACTTGCTTCAGGCTTCTGGAGCACCCAATTGAATCATTCCTTTCCTGCAGCGTTTTGATGTAGGCACCATTGTTTCCTAGAATTGTAATAAAGAATTCTATACAATTTGTAATTAGAAAAACACTATAATGCCACTAGCTTATCGTAATTCTTTTACCAAGTACTACACCTATAATGTTAGTAGTCCCCTTTTCCCCAAAGAAACAATATAGTTGGCCAAGAAAGAGGTGCTGGCTACTTGCTTATATGCTATATGCACAAAGGGGCAGCTTCAATACTTGAATACTTGAAAATTTGTACATAGCAGCACCAACCAAGACTATGTGGTCTAATGGTACCCGGGTTGAACTTCCATTTGGAAGGTTGTAAGTTTGAGCCTCAGTGGAGGCGTGGTTCTTTGTGTTTCAGTAGGTTGAGAAAGTATATGAACAGATACTACATTGGTTCTTTGTGTTTCAGTAGGTTGAGAAAGTATATGAACAGATACTACATTGTAATAGAGCCAGTAGCATTCAAAAAAAAAAAAAAGTACATAGCAGCACCAGTTCTCGTTTAAACTCAGAAATTTGTTGTATAACAGTCCTGGTGTCAAGATCATCAATCGAAAGAAGTTCTAGGCATCTTCTTGCAAAAGTGACATGTTATGTTTTGCACACTGATGATATAAAAGGAGCATGTTGCATGTGCAAGATAGGTTTGAGATGGAAGATGAAGCAAAGCTGCAAAAACTTCCATCTATCTTGGAAACAATGTTTCACGGATAGCATAAGAAAAAGCCTAGTAGAAGAAGTCTGCACATTGAGATGGGTTGTTCTACATTAGTAAATGTGACAAATATATAACAGGCAGTTTAGTAAACCAACATACATGAGATTACACAAGACACATAATACAAATACTGTAATTTTTCAGCCATTTGAGGGTGCGAAAGTTAACAGATGATTATGTGTGCCCATCCACTAGAAGCAGGATGACTAAGAGCTTATAGTTAGACCATAGACAGCCATATAGCTAGCATGTAACTCCTAATTCTTATCATTCTGCTATCCGTCAGAGAGAGCACACATTATAACTAATTACATCTTTTATCAATGTTACTTTAAAGACCATTCACTAGAAGTCATGGCATTGGCAGATCAATCATTCAGTTAAATTCAAGTTGGAATGACAAACAATAAGTAACCAATCATCTCCATACATAGTACTTTGGAAAGAAAATATGGAGTAATCATTTGAAAATCAATCACAAGAATGTATCATGAAAGAAAATATTCCAATTCAGAGAAAGTGAAAATAATAATAGAGTTTATAATAATAAGAGAAATCAAAACAGATAGGGAAAATAATAAGGTTTCAGTGGGAGATAGGACCTAGTTTAAGTTATTTTCTTCAATTGCCAGAGCTATAAGGATAGATGCCATCCGCCAAATTTTAAAAACAATAAGCATTTGCCAAATATTGGAAATTTTCTTCTATTTTCCTTTACTCATAATTTACGTAATCAAGTTTCAAGGCAATCCTTGACACCCTGCTCAAAGCTGTTGAGAGAAGATACTGTATCCATAAGTGCATCTGCTATCTTCTGTCTGTAGCAAAATAAATAAATAAAGTGAGAAAGCAAAAGGAATCTTACACTGAGTCATGGTTTAGACTTCGACAATTTTACGATTGCATATATTATA